GATCCCCCCTTGAGTCCCAGAAACCCTAATTTCGTGGAGGAACCCCCTTGTTGGACAATTTGGAGCTTGGAGAGGTGCTTGTTGAAGAAATCTTGAAGGAGAAGTGGCTTGGATCAAAGGGCTTTGCTTGGATTCGAGTTTCATTGCTGTTGAGGCATCCTTTGGAGTGAAGGAGTTCGGAGCAGAGTTCGGAGCAGCGGGATCTTATCCTTTCAACCGGCAGTTTCGAGGTGAGTTATCCTCACTATATCAACAGGGTCAAAGGCACCAAGGCCGACCCTTTATTGGATTGAGATTCGGATATGGTTAATATGTTATTGTTTGATGTGTCTGCATCCTGGTAGCTAGGATGGTACATGCTAGGAGACCTTGTTAAGGTCAGTTTCCCGATATAAAGAGTGATGCTATGCTAGTGACCGGTTAGGTCGGTAACCTGGTTAGGGTAATGATATGCTATGTGATCTGCTTGCTTGGTTTGTTGACTATGATTGTTATATGATTGTATGTTTTGTGCACGTGGTTGTTTGGACTAGAGATGGGTTGAGGCGGGTCCTGCTTTGTGCTGTAGGCCAAGATACCCAGGGTGGACCGGTTATCCCGAAGGCCCAACGAGCGGTCCGGATAGGCTGTAGGCCCCACGAGGGCGGACCAGACGTGCTGAGGCTCGGAGAGTGGACCAGGCCGACTGAAGGCCTGATGCGGGCGGACCAGTCACACTGTAGACTCAGAGAGTGGACCAGGTGGGTTGAAGGCCCGATACGGGCGGACCAACCCCACTGTAGACTCGAAGGACATGACTAGACCTGGAGGATGGATCCGGTGGACTGAAGGCCCGATACGGCGGACCAGTCACACAGTAGACCCGATATGCATGGCTGTTCTATGTTCTGTTATGTATGTTTTATATGTTATGGGCCGGACGGCAATATGTTTTGGACCGGAAGGTCGTAGCCTGGAAAGGCGTATATGTGGTTGGTGTTTTGGGGGTATCTCACTAAGCTTTCGGGCTTACAGTTGTGGTTTAATGTTTTTCAGGTTCTTCAGGAGACTGTGGCAAGGCGAAGGCGTGATCGTACCGCTCCTCATGATTTTGTAGTAATGCGATTCTGGGAATACTTTAAATGATTTGTATTGAAAACCTTTTTGTAAACAATTTAATGAAATCAGGTTGTTTTTGAAAAATTTAAATTGGTTGTATTTTCGGTCGTTACAGACTTGCATTGATAATATGACATATCCATGTAATTTGATTTTATTATTTATAATTATTGCTTATTAATTTTAAAACCACTTGTTATTATTAGTAAGTGAAAGAAACTTTTAAAAAACACTTATTATTATAATTAAAATGTTAAACATATATTAAAATATAAAGTGATAAGATAGACAATTTAAATTTTTAAAAAAGGCTTACATGGATAATATGGATAATATGATATATCCATGATTTTTAATTAATTATTGTTTTAAAGAAACATGAACATACAAATATGTATACAATAGACAATTAAATATTATATATATCACCTTCCATAACATATAATCGATAACATGAATCTAATCTAATTTATATTAAATTTTCAACCACAACATACGATGATATTCTTAAAAGGATACTTAAATCAAGAAAATATAAAAAAGAATTAGTATATATAACAAACTTACAAATTGAAAACTTCAACATAATAACATGGCTAGAAAATTTGTTCAAAACCCTCAAACCAACAAAAAAAACTTTAAACTTGTTTTCTTTGTAAATTTTGTATGTGATTTGTATTTGTGTGTTTACTAAAAAAGATTGAGTTTTTTATAGCAGAGTATCCATTAATTGTTTATTAAATATATTATATTTGTTATAAAACCTTTGAATTGTTAATCATTATTAAGAAACTTTTGAGTGATATTCATTAAAATAAGAGGTTTCAAATGCATGAGGTGTTTGCAAATTTTTATGGGGGTTTCAAATGCATGAGGTTCAAGGAAAAATGCTAGCTTTATAAGTATGTATGATGAATATTTTCAACCCAACTCAACCTTTCAGATAAATGGATTGTTACTGGATTGACCTGTTTATGTAATTTTCAACCCAACCTATTAAATAAATGGGTGAAACCCGGGTTGACACATTTAAAATAAAAAAGTAAATAAATTAACTAAAAATTACACCACTTAAATAGTTTCAAACTTAAAGAAACTTTCAAAGTATAATAAAAGCACAATCACAATTCACAAATACAAAGATTTTATTCAAATAACTTTAAAGATATGTAATTTCGAAATAAATTTGAAGAGTAACTAGGTTTGACGACACAAAGAAAAAAATATAGGGATATGATTGTATTTTCTAAAACATAAATAATAATACAACATTGTAGTTTATAAATTAATATTTTGATTAATACAATTAATATTTAAATCATTATTAAATTAAATATATTAAAGTTAAAGGAGTTAGTGGGTTGAAAACCGGCTGAAAACATTTACCCAACCCAACCAATTTAATTAAATGAGTTAGACAGGTTGACCAATTTATCTTAAATAGATTGGAAATCTCAACCCCATCTAATAATTTTAGGTTGGGTTCAGGTAAAGATTGATGGGTTTGTCGATTTTTATAAGCTATAAAAATATATATTTATTATATATTAAAAACATAAAATAACAAAAAAAAAAAGAAATAACAAAAAAATAATAAATAACAAAAAAAAAGAATAAAAACGGAAATTAAGGGGTATATAAAGAAACCATTATCATAAAAAAATCCACCGTGTCAACTTTATCAAAAAAAGACAAAACTTCAAAAATGATCCCTGTGGTTTTCGAAAACATCAAGTTTAGTCCCTAAATTCAAAAAACCTCATTGATAGTCCCTGTGGTTTCAAAACTTTTAACAAATGGTCCTTCCGCGTAATGCCGTCAACTTTCTACCGTTAAGTGAGGGGTATTTTCGTCATTTCAATATACAGGGACCATTTATGAGGTTTTCTCTATTTAAAAGAAAAAAAAATATAATTATTTAATTAAAGGGCCCCACACACACACTCTCTCTCTCTCTCTCTCTCTCACACACACACACACACGATCTATAAGACCACCCTTACCCTCTTCCGATTTTATCCACCTTTAACAACCATTACTCCACCATAGCACCACCACTGCCACCACCTTCTTCCCCACTGGAAACCAACATCCCTACCCTACTACTGCTGTCGGAGCTCTTTCTTCCACCATCTACAACCCTCTTCTTGCACTACCGAGAAATACCACCGTCAAGGGTGGTGTTGGTGTTTTGTAACTACCGCGAACCACCGTGGTTCTCCATCTTTTTCCATTGACCGGAGAAGGCTTCCATTCACCACCCAAGATCACCTCCCCTCGTCACTCTCCCCCATTTCTCACTTCACTGGTGACGATGACCACCAAAATCGATGACGACAGTCCCTCTGTCTCCTCCTGTCATAACCCACCACCATTAAATGTCGTCGTCACTCCTGCTTCCCCATAGACCCTTGTCGAACACCACCCAATTTTTATTATCTTTCCATTTCTGCACCTGGTGCAACCTAGTCAACGGGTAGATCTCGGTTTTCCTTTGTTCTTTACACCAAGAAAAAAATAGCTTGGTTAGTCTTCTTTTTCACCATGATCTGATGGATCTTCCTCTTCTTACCTCAAACATGCCTATCAAGTGTTCGATATATTGCCACAGTAAGTCGTGGGTTCAAAGGATTTCAAATGCAATTCATAGACAATAATGCTTATTCCTTATATCAAACAACTATAATTTTGGGTTTGTTTTCAATTTAAACACAAATATCATTTCCTGTACCATTGGTATCATTCTCATTACAAATTCAAATGAGATTTTTGAGGAGATTCATAGACAAGTCGAATCAACAATAAAATCAAGGAATAAGGTTGGGTAGAAAATAAAGCAGTGGAATTATGAGATTTCTGTTGCAGGTCAATCAGTTGGATATGTTTCAAGAATACAACTTTGTTTGACCTATCCCACCGAATATTTCATTCATATCTGGTCTCCGTGTTGTTAATCTATCAAACGAGGATGACGGTGAGGATGGCGATGTGGTTCCAATGGTGCTTAATTTAACAGATTCTTATGGTTGGAAACCAATTTCGATTTCATTAAATGAGTTTTCTTGTAAAACATATAATAAAAGGTGCCATAACCGGAAAATTTGGATTAGAACAGTACGTATCATCAACGCCTCTACATTTCTACATTTTTATTGAACATTTGTACTCCATCATAACAATGGAGGTTGAATTATAAGGACTTTTGGGGTGTGATTCTTGAAGCAAGAAATGTATTAGGGAAGGCTTTTATTGTTTCCTTTTGTTCTGGTGCTCTCACATGGAGAGGGAGAGGGAGAGAGAGAGAGAGGTGGGATCTCTTTAAATTTAATGTTTTTTTTTTTTTCAAAAAAAAAAATAGAAAACCTCATAAATGGTCCCTGAGTGTTGAAATGACGAAAATACCCCTCACTTAATGGTCGAAAGCTGATGACGTTAGGCGGAAGGATAATTTGTTAAAAGTTTTGAAACTACAGAAACTATCTGTGAAATTTTTTGAACTTAAAGACTAAACTTAATATTTTCGAAAATCACATGGACCGTTTTTGAAGTTTTGTCTCAAAAAAATAAACATTTATCTTGCAATCATTTTTATTGAATCTGCTTTTTGGTACTTTATCATATGGGTTTTTTACTTATTGGTAGAAAGGACTATCACTTTTCATGTGGACGATATCGTTTGCAATAAGAATGTCGTTATTTTTGCAGAAGCTGTATTTTTTTATTATTTTTTTCTAAAAGGAAGAACTTAATTAAGTGGTTATATCGGATACGACTGGCGGTAATCTGATAATTGACGAGACATCCAACACGTGAACTAAAAGTTAAGGACAAAGTTTCAAAAACAGTCCTTATGGTTTTAAAAAGGTAGCAGTTTAAAGATATTATTCATTAGGGTAACACCGATGGTCCCTAATGTTTTCAAATCCGATACGGATGGTCCTTGGTTTAATGCTGTTAGGTTATCTCCCTTAGGGCTTATTTCAATTTCCATTTAGAGTTATTGTTGTTTTGTTAATTGTCTCTAATGGATCCACCTATGGCATGGGAGAATGAAGGTGGTGAACTTGTTCGCCGGCTTCACAGGAAAACCAAAACGCTCAAGATCCGTCGGTAGAGGTGGAGAACAGAGAAGACGATTCATCTGCAAAGAAATTTAAGGACGCAAACGGAGAAGAAAGTAACATTGAGATTGAAACAGTTGAGAAAACCATGAGCTCAAATGGTTACTAGTTGGAGTTCTAGTGATAATTTAGATGACGGATTCAAATGAGAAAAAAGAAGTTTTCTTGAACCTGAAGCTGAACAGACAACTGATAAAGTTGAAGAGGTGGAGATTTCCCCCATTGTTGATCCAGTTGATGAAACCAAGAACGAAGAGACACAAGAATCAGTTCCAGCAATTGAACCAATGCCTGAAACAGTACCTGAGAAACTTGAATAATCTGAGGTTTTCCCCATTGTTGAACCGATTAAGAATCTGAGTATCAGAATCGAACCATCTTAGAAAAGACAGATGAGCACATGGAACCTGATTGCTCAGCTCATCAACAACGTTGATGAAACCTGACGGAGGCCACCAGAAGTGAAGAAGAAGACGAAGGTTGGAGGAAGGAGATATCGCCGGAGGTGAGGCCATTGTGGTTGGGGGAGACGAAGGCTTGGGGTTAAAAGATGTAAGGACGAAAATGCCCCCTCTCTAACGGAGATAACCTAACGGCATTAAACCCAGGGACCATCCGTGTCGGATTTGGAAACGTCAAGGACCACCGATATTATCCTAATGAAAGATTTCCTTTTATTGCTACTTTTTGCAAACTATAAGGACCATTTTTCAAATTTTGTCAAAGTTAAATAACAAATCAGACAGAAACACCATTATTGGCTTTTCTTTTCTTTACGTTCCACATCACCGATTCCAATCCACGAAATTTCTCCAAGATTTCCAAGGTAATCATCAGTGTTTTGCTTGAAAATCAATATTACTTTTTAATTTTAATTTTAAGGGTTGATCAAATCATCGAAGCCCCACACTTTCAAATCCTTTCTGTGATTTTTTTAAAATTGAATTCGTTTCCCTACAATACCATTTGTTTTCTGTCAACTTGTACTTCAATGCAAGCCATGCTTCTTAATCCCTAAGTATAGAGCTAATTATACGTTGACATCGTTTTGTTGTTGAGATTTGCGTATCGAAATGATAATATCACTTGATCGTTAATTTGTGCGGCAGATGTATTCATCTTAGGTCAGCGGATTGGTGGAAGTTTGAACAATCAGTGGTTTGCAACTTTGGGAGGAGCAACAGAGGCACGGTTGACTATCGATTCTCCTGATCCATTGAATAAGGAACAGTGTTAAAATTTTAATTACTTCTGTTCCTTCCGATTACTTGATACCAGAACTACATCCACTTCCATGGCGGAACCAAAGAAGATAATCATAGACACCGATCCTGGCATTGGTAAGTGCTTCTTTCTGGAGTTTATGGATTGCTCTCATAATCATCATCTTGTTAAATTTAAGCTTTTCCCCTTTTCTATTCGAATTTTCAGTTTAAGCACTTTATCCTAAAACTAAGTACACCATCCAATTATAAATAAACTGTGGCTAATAATAGACGATCTTTTAATCCATGTTGTGTGCAATTGTTGAATCAGATGATGCCATGGCAATATTTCTGGCATTAAGGTCACCAGAAATCACAGTGATTGGGCTTACAACTATATATGGCAACGTTTACACCACACTTGCCACTAGAAACGCATTGCATTTGGTAAGCCATTTCATCTCTTTTACATATAAAAGTACTAGCTGTGATTTCTTCTGTGATTAACTTTCTTTGTCTTCATACCAACTAAACTGAAGATATTGATGTTTTGTTATTTATATCTATAGTTGGAGGTTGCTGGAAGAACAGACATCCCTGTTGCAGAAGGATCTCATGTCAGTTATATGGTACATCTCCTTCCATTTCTATTATTAACTTCATATCTTTTGAAAAATCTTATGTTTCTTCTCTTTCTTTTTTTCTCCATGTGTTAAGAAAGCCACAAAGCTTCGAGTTGCAGACTTTGTCCATGGAGTAGATGGACTTGGAAACCAGAATTTTCCTCAGCCAAAGTCAAAGCCAATAGAAAAGTCAGCTGCAGAATATTTGGTGGATCAGGCTAATCTTTACCCTGGAGAAATCACTGTAGTGGCATTGGGTCCCCTTACCAATATTGCATTGGTCCCATTTCCAACCTTTTTTAATTAAGAAATTAACCATTTCTTGAAACACCTTTTAAAGAATCTTTTTAATTGTTGCAGGCGATTCAACTGGACCCCACATTCACCAAAAAAATTGGACAAATTGTTCTTCTTGGTGGTGCTTTTGCAGTAAATGGGAATGTGAATCCAGCTTCTGAAGCTAATGTAAGTAACTTTATGATTGTAATTAACTAATTATACCCCAAACATTTTGTTGTTATTTATTTACATTTTATTAATTTCTCCCATAGATTTTTGGTGATCCAGAAGCTGCTGATATTGTGTTTACTAGTGGAGCTGATGTTGTGGCTGTTGGAATCAATGTTACTCATCAAGTTATTATGAAAGGTAATCCAAATCCTTTTTTTATATTTTTCTGAAAAGTCAACTTATTATATGATTATGAATTTATGATAATTTTACTAGTATTAACAGTTGCTAATAATATGTTTGTAGATAGTGAGCTTGAGAACATGGCAGAATCAGAAGGAAAATTTGCCAAGTATTTATCCAAGATCCTGGATTATTACTTTTCTTATCATCGTGATGCATACAGCATGAATGGTGAAAGATTGAATTTTTTCAAAACACAATGTGTATTTCTATGACTTTTGATGTGGCCTTTTATATTAAATAAAAAGTTTTATTTGTGTAGGTGTTTACCTTCATGATCCTACAGCACTTCTTGCAGCTGTTAATCCTTCACTGATGACATACACAGAAGGTATTGTCAGAGTCCAAACAACTGGCATCACAAGGGGTCTAACGTTGTTTTTCAATAAACAGAAAAGGTGAAAATGTTTTTTTTAATCTTTTATTTTTTTTGAGTAAATTACAATTTTTGTTCCAATGCTATGTTGATTTTTTTTTTTTTTGGATATGGTTTAAAAAAGAATCTTTTTCACTTTCTACACTTTTAGTCCTTGGTCGTCTAAGTTAACCACCTGAGCCCATGGACTGACCATTTTTCCCTTGTATATGTATGAGTGGCATATGTATAATCTTTTTTTTTTTTTTTTTGAAAAATCTATCCAATTATAGCAAAATGAAAATTGCTTTGTATGTGGATAAAGTTGCTATGATCAGGTAGCTTTTTAGAAATACAATATTGTTGTAAGATGAAATAAAAGTAGGATGCTATAATAAACAAATATTAGAAAGTATGTTGCTATTTCTTGCATTTATTAACCTGAAGTGATTCGCAATTTGAAAAAACTTGTGTGCATGTTTTTGACTTGTATGAATCTGTTATTTTTTTTTTTTACTATGCAAGGTTTAACGAAGCGACTGAATGGAACAACAAACCGACAGTAAAAGTGGCAGTGACAGTTGATGCTCCTGCAGTTGTGAAATTAGTAATGGATCGCCTCATGAATTCATAACCTCCATTCATTTTTTTAAAGTTGTTGACATATTGTCTAATAAAAACATTTCCATTTCAATTCATATGAATTATTTGTACCTAACAGTTTTTCATTTCAGTATTATTGTTATTTTTTTTTTTATATAAATTATAAATTATTTTTTATGTTTGAAATTGAAAAAGTAAATGCGAACGATGCATCCATTTTTTATATTTTCCGAAACAAGGAGTGAAGTTTTACATTATGGACAAAAAAGTCAATTTGCAAGTGGAAGAGGCAAAATTATGATAGCCAATCAATCAAAGAGGGGTTCTAAAATTAGTTAAACTTTCATAATAAAAATTTATAATTATTATTTATTTTAAATAAATTATTAATTAAGAGATATATCAAAATTTTAAAGTTATTATAACTTTAAATTTAACAAATAATTAGAAAATATAAATTTGAATTTTGAAATGAATTGCCTAATATATGTACATGATATAATATTAATGAGGAATTGTATTAGAATGATACTTGGCAAAAAAATGATTAAAACTATTCATTTATTAGAATAAGAATAAGTTAATACATAACTGTTTTCAAAAAATCTAGCTACATTATTTATATTGCCAAATAACCGAATTTATGTTTTAAAAGGTAAACAACTCATGTTTTCTGTATGGTTACACTTTTACCTGCTATGTGTTCAATAGGTCACCACTTTTTAAATTTTAAACTTTTGATCTAGATTTTAAAATTTATTACACGTTTTGTCCAAATTTAAAACTTTGTTATGAATTTGCCCCAAATTTAGCGTTTCTTTACACATTTATTTTTCTAGAACTTTTTTAAGACTTTTTATAATGATTTATAATTTTATTAAAGTCTTAGAAAAGTTGCAAGAAAAATAAATTTGTAAAAAATCACTAAATTTGGAATGAATCCATAACAAACTTTCAAATTCGGACTAAATTTGTAATAAAATTCAAAATTTGAGTTTAAAATGTAAAATTTAAAAGAAAGGTGTCGTATTCATTCCTACATAGCATGGGAACCATACAGGAAAACATGAATCGATAAAATGGTTACTTGGCAACTCTAAGGCATTTTGAGAAATTAGTTTCAAAAGATAACGATAACCCTTATAATATTACAAGATAACTAATGTTTGATGATTAATTTAATCTAATTAAATTACTATATAAGATAGGATATAATAAAACAAGTCCTGTCACGATGACACTCTTGATTCATTTCCTCACGCATATCGACTTCTCATTTTTCTTAATATGAGAACCACATTCGGTATCCATTACCCAATTATGCAACATCATCATGTAGTTAAGTCGATATATACGGTATACCTAACCATTTTAACTCTAATTTCTTTACAATTATATTTTGCTTCTCATTTATAACACATTGTAACACACAAGAAATACAAATCTCACTCTCCACGTTACGTACTTTTCTCTAAAACTTTTAGTTTAATATTTTATAATCACACAAATAGTCACATGAGACGTTCCGTTACCGATTTGACAACTGCAGGAGCATTGACTGTCACTGCTACTTTCACTGTCGGTTTGTTGCTCCATTCAGTCGCTTCATTAAACCTTGTATAGTAAAAACAACACATTACATATTGCAAATGTGTTAAGTTCGACGGATGAGGGACAAAAAACCCAATAAAACCATGAATTTGGGACAAAACGGTCATTTTTACCTTTTAAGCTTGTTGAAAAACAATGTTAGACCCCTTGTGATGCCAGTTGTCTGGACTCTAACAACACCTTCTGTGTATGTCATCCGTGAAGAATTAACAGTTGCGAGAAGCGCTGTTGGATCGTGAAGGTAAATACCTATATATATATATATATATATATATATATATATATATATATATATATATATATATATATATATATAGAGAGAGAGAGAGAGAGAGAGAGAGAGAGAGAGAGAGAGGGTTCAATTGAGAAAAAAATATTGAGAATGAGAGAATCATTCTCAGCCACTCATTTATTTTTGCCGTAAAAGTCTCCGTCGTACCAACGGAAATAGGAAATGAATAGACATGTGTTTTCCAACAAAACATATTTCCTTAAACTATGCTAATCATTACCTTAATATATATATATATATATATATATATATATATATATATATATATATATATATATATATATATATATATAGTTTTTTTCGTTTTTTTTTTTAAATTTTTAAAAGCTATTTTTATCAAAAAATGATACTAGATATACGAAAATTCATGATTTTTTTTCTCTACAAATAGACATCCATACTGATATAGTTTTAAGATAAAAAATATATATATTTTTATATTTCCAGCTATCGTTATTCATAAGTGAATAAAAATGCATCAAGTTTTATTACAGTACATTTGTTATTCACTTATGAATAAAAAGTATGATTTTTTTTACAATTTAACTATCATTCAAATATGAATATAATATATAATAAACATAGTATATTCATAGTTTAATATTGAACGATGCATTCACTTGTGAATATTAACATAGTATATTCACTTGTGAATATTAGATAGTATATTCACTTATGAGTATTAAATGATATTTCATATGTGAATATTACATGGTATATCACATGTGAATATTACATATTATATTCACTTGTGAATATTAGATGATATATTCACTTATAAATATTACACAGTATATTCACATATGAATATTACAAGGTATATTCACTTGTTAATATATTCACTTATGAATATTTGAAGGTATTTTGACAAATATATATAATTTTTATATGTTATTCAGATATGAATAACATACAGACTTGCATATTTGTTTTGTGTTTTTAATAATCATATACTGATTCAGGTGAGAAAACATATTCATATGTGAATATAACGTGGTAATTTAGTTTATGCATTTCATCAAACGGTTGGAGTGCATACAAGTTAACTATTTTAAAAATGTTAAAAACATCAAGTTATCAATTCCAAATCATCATATACTTCCGATTTTGACTTCAAATGCGACATCCTATGTTTGATCGATTTCTCATTTTGATTTTGATTTCCGAAAATCGGATTGGGAACCTGTGAGTACCGATTCTGAGTCCTTCAATGTCGACTGTGACTGCAATTCCAGAACTCCGATTCCTATTTCATGAACAACGAAGAAATTCTGGTTTAGTTGCAGAAATCTGGATGATTATTGAAGGTTGGAGGAAATTTTTTGATGATGAACGAACTGTTATCGAATTCTCTATAGTTACGTATTTGAGATTGAAGGTTATTAACATATTTACAAGTTTGCCACCTTATTTTTTATGCTTAGATTAAATGAATGGCTGAGAATGATTCACCCATTCTCAACCTTTTTTATTTTTCTCAATTGAACCCACCTATATATATATATATATATATATATATATATATATATATATATATATATATATATATAAGGGTAAATTGGTCATTCTCATGGATCAATAGTTTCATACCATTACCAACGAACATCTTGTGTTTTTTCTATATAATATAAAAGAGTCATTAAAACTTACAGAAAAAACATCAAGTTTTAAAAAACACATACCTTTAATGTTGTATGCATCACGATGATAAGAAAAGTAATGATCCAGGATTTTGCACAAATACTTGGCAAATATTCCATCCGACTTTGCCAAGTTGTTAAGATCATTGTCTACAAACATATTATAAGTAAGTATAAATACTAGCATGAATATGATGTGTATCAAATTGGCCAAAAATAACTAAAGTTGAGCTACATAAAATGAAAAAAAAAAGATTACTTTTCATGATCACTTAATGAGTAACATTCATGCCAATTGCCAAAATATCAGCTCCACTAGTAAATACGATATCAGTAACTTCTGGATCACCAAAAATCGACTTTTTCCAAATTATATGAAAATAATCAACAAAAAAGTGTTGTATATATGACATTTTTCGGACACACACAAGCAAATAGTGTTTCCATGTTTCTTGTTCGAGTTTATGAAGAGTGGATGCAATCAAATCGTATGATTGTTAAAAACTCCATGAGTAGATATTAACATGTGAAAAAAGGCAACACAACATCCCCTTGGTCATTTAAGTGGGATCTCATCTCCCAAATCCTGATTTAAATCACAAACAGGCATACACTTTCAACCCAAGAAAATAAGAAGTTATTAACTAAATCCAATTTTCAATAGAGAGTTGATGATACATATGTTGACTTAGCTAATCCCTATAGTGACATGCATGATACATCTAACTTTAATAATTCTTATATTGTTTAATGTACTTATTGGTATTTAGTTTCCAAAAGAAAATTGACGGACTTACGTTAGTCTCGGCAGTCGGATTCACACTCCTATCTACTGCAAAAGCACCACAAAAAAGAACAATTTGTCCAATGTTTTTGGGGAATGTGGGGTCCAGTTGAATCGCCTAAAGCATTAATTAAAAAGATTTTTTAAAAGGTGTTTCAAAAAACAATTGACTCCTTATATAAACAAAAAGAAAGGGTAGAAAAGATATGATTGATCAAAACTTTCTTGTGAAGTGTACATAAAAAAGAAATGGAAGGAAATGTACCGTATAATTGACATGAGATCCTTCTGCAATAGGGATATCTGATCTCCTAGCAACCTCCAACCATATATAAATAACAAAACATCATCATCTTTAGTTTAGTTAGTATGAACACATTGAGGATAGGCAACAACACCCTGTAACAAGTGACAAAAACTTGATTATACAGAAATCAAAGAATAATTTAAAGATGGTATTTTCTAAAGCAAAAAAGATGAAATGGATTTACCAAATGCAATGCATTTCTAGTGGCAAGTGTGGTGTAAACGTTTCCAAAAATAGTCGTAAGCCCAATCACTGTGATTTTTGGTGACCTTAATGCCACAAATATTTCCATGGCATCATCTGAATGAACATTTGCACATAACATGGATACAAATTCATCATGTAGGTGTATATATAATGTATTTGAAATCTGGATGGTGTTCTTATTTTCTTGGCCAAAGTTTCGTACACTCAAATGATTTGAAAATGGAAGGGAAAAAACCTTAAATTAGAAGAAGACGATGATGATGATGATGATGATGATGATAGTAATCCATAGACTGCTGAAAGACGAATTTACCGATGCCAGGGTTGGTGTTTATGATTATCTTCTTTGGTTCCGCCATGGAAGTGGATGCAATTCTGGTATCAGGTAATGGAAACAACATAAATAAAAAGGTAAACGGCTGTTTCTTAATCAATGGATGAAGGATTTGTATGACTGATTTAAAACCTTAGGAGAATCGTAAGTCGGCTGAGGCTCTGGTTCTTATTCTCCTGAAGTTGCAAACCGATTATAGACAGTGATTGGTCAATCTTCCATTAACTGGATGTCCTAGATGAATACGATTGCAGCATAAGTTGATGATCAAAGTGATACTAGAATTTTGATACATAAATCTAAGCAATGAAAATGTTTTCCACGTGTTGGCTCTCTCTGTGAGACTGACAAATGTTGTAGATAGGGATTAACAAACACGACTTGCATGCACAAACACTGTACACATATTGTCTTATTTGTAAGAATTATGCACCACACGACAAAAATTATGCGGAAACGAATATGGAAGTAAAATTTGAATTCAAAAGAGTTGTGGAGAGAAGGGGACTCGAATGTGCTGAGCCACAGGCGCGGGACATCGGTTGTGATACCATGTAAATATATGTGGAACCTAAAATTGTCTTTCCAAAAGAGCCCTTGTGGAGAGCATAGGGACTCCAATATATAGTCACTTATATTACCATGTCGCACCAATGTGGGATGCAGTAACAATTATTTTATGTTATCTTTTCCGTATCGTGATGTGCTTGTCGTTTTATAATTGGTTCGTTTTCGTGTTAGTTAAAAAACGATATCATGTCATGCTGTGTTCGTGTTATATAAAACATTATTATGTCGTGTCGTGTTAGACAAAAATACTACACGATCATCCGATTTACCATCCCCACCTCGTAACCGTTAGGTCTTTTTGAGATCATTTTTTTTATCTTCTTTTGGACCGGTTTCTGTATTGCTCTAATTAGATGGGTCTCATAGTCTTTTTGTTCTTTTTTTTTTTAGTTTCAATTCGAATTTTGGTTTTTATATGTTTGATTGTTTGATTAATTAGTCATTATTATTATGCATTAATAATTAAAGTATCATATAAAATGATTAGTTACCCATTATAATAAGGGATAATGACTTAGGAGGGTAATAACGTTTCATGTTTGTCCATTTTAGATCCCTAACGTATTTTTTGTGCGTATTACACCATTAAGGTTGTTATAACCGTTTACAAATAATCATTTTAACAGGAAGAAGGCGGTAAATGGATTATTTATAAACGGTTATAACAACCTTAATGGTGTAATATACACAAAAAATACGTTGAGGACCTAATATGGACAAACGGGAAACGTTATTACCCTCCTAAGTCATTATCCCATGAAACTATAAACCCCTATAATAAACTTTTACTTTTTAAATAAAAAACTTATAGGTCTTGGGGTTGGTAGTTTGGATGTTTTTAACCTCGACCTTCTTTATAAATGGAAGTGACGGTTTCTTAATGACAATGGAGCACTTCGGGTTAAAATTGTCAAATTTTGTCATAGGGAAGGTGGTGGTTTTGCGGACGATTCGAGAATAGGAATTGGGGGGGGGGGGGGTGTTTGGCAAAAGATTGTAGGATCCATTAATCACCTCCATGAGAATGGTTGTATTCCTTCTAATTACATGTATAGAGTGGTGGGGGATGAGACTCAAACGAGGTTCTAGAAGGATGTTTGGTGCTTCGATATTCCTCTTAAGGAGCGGTTCGGGAGGCTCTTTGCTTTGGCTTATAATCAAGATGCTCGAGTAAGTGAATAATGGGATCCGCAGGGGGGGGGGGTGGGGGATGTAATTTTCATTGGCATCGAGGGATTAAAGGAATACAACCATTCTTATGGAGGTGATTAATGGATCCTACAATCTTTTGCCAAACACCCCTCCAATTCCTATTCTCGAATCGTCCGCAAAACCACCACCTTCCCCATGACAAAATTTGACAATTTTAACCCGAAGAGCTCCATTGTCATTAAGAAACTGCCACTTCCATTTATAAAGAAAGCCGAGGTTAAAAACATCTAAACTATCAACCCCAAGACCTATAAGTTTCTTATTTAAAAAGTAAAAATTTATTATAGGGGTTTATAGTTTCATGGGATAATGACTTAGGAGGGTAATAACGTTTCCCGTTTGTCCATATTAGGACCTCAACATATTTTTTGTGTATATTACACCATTAAGGTTGTTATAACCGTTTATAAATAATCATTTTATCGGTTTCTTCCTGTTAAAAGGACTATTTGTAAACGGTTATAATAACCTTAATGGTGTAATACGCACAAAAAATACGTTAAGGACCTAAAATGGACAAATAGAAAACGTTATTACCCTCCTAAGTCATTATCCTATTATAATATTGAAACAATCAACACACTACATATATAAAAATCTTAGTTTACCAATTATTATTACACTGTAACAATCAACACACTATACATATGAACATCCTAATTTACCAATTATTATTACACTGTAGCAATCATCATACTATACATATGAAGGTCTTAATTTATAGGAACGTGTATATTATTACACTGTAACAATCAACACACTATACATATGAACATCCTAATTTACCAATTATTATTACACTGTAGCAATCATCATACTATACATATGAAGGTCTTAATTTATAGGAACGTGTATATTGCCTAATATTACAAAGTATGTTAATGATTTGTTTGTTGGAATATATATTATTTTTGTGTTTAGACTAAATAACATAAATTTCATTACATTTGGATATCATAAAAGTCATTATATTTTTATTTATTTTTTTGATTTTGACATCTTGAATATGATTTCATTAAAAAATAATATGCAATCATGCCACACCATCAAAGAGTTCCACATCAGCATGCGTTGTCAGCCAACAACCGGATGACATGATAAGTGGTAAGTATTGAAACAAATTGAAAAAACCATTAATTGAAACAAAAATAATTACAATATTATAAAAAAATTTAACATCTACCCATTTTGTTTTTTAGCCATAACTTTTTTTCTTTTTTTCTTTTTTTTTTGAAAATACCAAAGTTATTAAAATTTAATTCTCTACAAATGAGCATTATCATAAAATTTTGAATTTTTGTTTTAATTTTTAATATTTATAAAAAAAAACTAGAAAAAGAAAAATTTTCAAAAATTATAAAAATTTAATGAATACATCTACTCATTATACTAGCGACTTTGTAAAAAGAATATTTAAAAAATAAGGTGTTTTAGACATCAAACTTGATTTTAAAAGATTATAAGTTTTTGAAATAAATGTTGAACATAATATGATCCAAATAAAGATGATTTAAATATCTATGATTAAAAAAATATTATGATTCAACATGTTTATGATCATTAACTTGTTATGATCTACAAATATTTTGATTCAAATATTTTATAATTCTTAATTATTATATATTTTATGAATCAAAATTAAATGATTCAAAAAATATAATGATTCAAATGTTTTATTGAACAAAAACTTTATTTAATTCAATATATTATGATCCAGAACCATATGATTCATTAATGATATGATCTAAATTACTATGATTCAAAATGATATTCTCCAAATTAATATCATTATGGTTCAATTTTTTTTATAATGGTTAAACATCAAAAACTTGAATCGATATTTAATTCAAAAATAAAAAGAAAGAAAAATTTAAAAAGAAAATAAAAAAAAGCATAACGTATGATCTGAAGGTTGTTCTTCAGAATCTCATCTACCTTTATTTTTTAAGGATAAATCCATAACAAGTCTCTGATACGAGGAATTCGTTGTTTTTCAGAATCTCCTCTACCTTTATTTTTTAAGGATAAACCAACGTCTGGTTCCTGGTATGTAGTTAATTTATAATTATTCACTTTTATATAGAAACTCGATGAGTTGGAGGCCCCAAACTCATCGAGTAGAAATGAATTGGACCGCAGGTTTGGAGACTTACTCAACGAGTTGGGAGGTCTTAACTCGACAAGTGGGCTGGCAGAAATGAAACCCTAATTCCGGGGTTTTGCACCATATTTAAACACCTTAACCCTAAGGTGTTGGCCTCTTCTCCAGACTCCACTGTTCAAAACCCTAATATCGAAACCCTAAGCCATTTTGGTGATTGTGAGCTAATCTTGTGCTTTCTTAGTGAGTTTAAAGAAGGGGAAGCTTGAAGGAGGAGCAATAACGTGTGGGAGGAGAGTAGATCTAGAAGTTGAGCTTCATTCCTGGTTAATAAGAGGTATAAAGATTCAACCTTGTCTATAGCATGCCTAGATCTAGTCTTAGGATGTTTTGCTTCATGTTTTGGTCCAAGTATGTTGATGGTTGGGATTTAGACATCCTATTTGGGCAAATCCTTTAGATCTGGAGTCTTGAGGGGACTTCATGGCATAAAGGTGCCAAATTTATGGCCATGGAAGTCCCATGCAACTTCTAGATCATGTTTTTGGTCTTTTAAGCCTTAGTAGGTCATGAATGCAAGTAAAGATGGGAGCTTTACATGTCAAATTGTCCCTAGAGTCTAGATCTATGACCTCATGGGCTATCTTGAAGTTTTGATGGCTTTTGGAGTTGGATCTAAGCCCTTTTCAGTTAGGGTTTGAGTTCATGTCTTGGGGAGAGGTTCTTAATGGGTAAAGTTGGAAACTTTACCCTTCTAGACTCATTTCCAGCTTGGATCCAGAAGATAGGGCCTTGGTTTGAAGAATAGGGATTTAATGCATTAAGAAGGCTTAACAGATTAAAAAACTCGACGAGTTCACAGAGAAACTTATCGAGTTGATTGAAAGTGTCTCGATTTAGT